GAAGTTGGGTTTAGTAGCCAAAACCTCATGTAGAGAAATGTGCTGTCGTGGAGATAAAAGTCACCAGGGGTGTGGCCCAGTCGTCAAGTCTATAAAAACTGATCAGACCAAAGGTTAACCTAGTCCAGTCAAGCCTCTGGAAGTTTCACAGAGTAACTTTCCCATGATCAGGGGCTGCCATTAGCTTCTATGGGCACGAAAATAAGGTCCTGCATTTAGTGATAAGCAGGCTGCAGAAACACTTTAATACTGCTGACCAGAGAGCTGACATTTAAATTTCCCCCACTCTAAAGCAATAATATTTTGGAAGTAATAGTTTTCATATTTAGCCCTTTAAATTGTTTGCCCTCCCAGATCAGATTCCAGCGTGTTCTTAATCTCTCCCATATAAATTATGGGAAACAATAAAGTGCTGCTTTAGGGACATTACTGACTTGAGGATAAAATCTGTGTTCTGCAACTAATTGTGAAACTGTTCTTCATTGATTTTTTTTGTGTGCCTCCAGAGCATTGAAAATAAAACTGCATTTCTATAATGTGCAAATTCTCCCTTGCACGTGCAATCTGTCTACATAATTGTAGGAATTTTGCTGCTATGAAACAAACAGATTAAATAAATATTAAGCAGATGAGTGTTGAAAAACCATAGAGTTGGCAAAGCTTGAATAAAAGCCTTTTTTTTAAAAAAAAAATGACCTTTACAAGGATATGTATTTCTGGATTTGTTAAAAAAAAATAACACAATGAATATTTTCAGTGCAGCAATACATTTATTTTAAATACAATCAAGCAATTTTTTTAAAAATGTCACAGGCTGTAATTCAACGGTCAACATATTTTGGAGTAGGATTTCTAACAAGCTGAGCTACATTTTTTGCTTAATAGATCAGATGGCCATGACAAAGGACCCAGTTGTTTTAAATCATGCTTGCAGTGGGCATTTTTCACTAGATTCTCTGTTGGGTGGACATGTTCTCCCACAGTTTGAAGGCTAAGAACAGCGACCAGGTTTTTAACTGAGCCATTTATGAACAGGAACATGACATGCATAAATACGATAATGCAAATGTATTTTAGGAAGGACAGAAGAACAAAGATTAAGTTATCTATTTAGAAAAGTTAAGAAATCTGAATACTGGTTAGTGTCTTGCTACATTTTGCACTCGTGTATTTATGGATGACTCATTAAACTCTGTTCTTAAATTGCAGGGCTTTAAGGACTCTTGATAAAATCTCTTTATATAAGGAATTGGATACACACCTTAATCATACCCTGGAAAATATGAAGAAATGTTATGGGGGTGGAGGGGAAATGGTCATTACTATATCATCTCAATAGTAGGAATGGATACTGTGCCTTTTGTGTAATTTCCTAATCCAAAAAATGAATATTTTTCTAATGTTACAATTATGCTGCTGCTTGAGTACAAAGTAGTAAGGAATTTATGTGTAAACATGTTAAGAATGTGGAGTTTTTCACAGGTGGCATTTAGAAATATTCCTGAGCTTCAGCAGGAATGCAAAAAACCCTACAACTCAAAAATTTGCAATGCAAATGCATTTCCTGTGTCCCAAAGGTGCTTTTCTCCCAAAAGGCTTTCTTGGTTTTTTTTTTTTTCTTTGAAAACATTTCACTTCTCATCCAAGAAGCTTCTTCGGTGAAGTGAGAAGTGAAACATTTTCAAAGAAAAAAAAAAAAACCTTTGAGACAACCATAACCTGGCTGATTGAGAATCTCCAGAAACATGTTTCTTGTGCTTCCTAGTTATGGCTACACATAAACATAAATAATACATGAGACTTAAAACTACCTTATACTTCCATGTATGAAAACTTCCCAAAGTAATAGGAAATGGAGTTGCACTTTCTGTTCCTTAAAAAGGAAAGAAATAGCTTAGCGCAGTTCCACTTAGCATTTACATCACGGCGTATAATACAAGATAGTGCTCTGACCATTTTGTATGGAGCTGATTCAATTCAAACTATATATTTTGGTTATGTATCTCACATTGCAGCTAACCTTGCTGTCCAAAACTACAGTATTTGTAGAATGCAGTTTTCCAGAAACATAAAAAAAACATAAGATCATTTTTTTTCCCTATCTTGTTACAGGCTCTTGTCAAAAAGGTTTTGGACATTTTTAAGCTCTTTCTAACATGACCTTTAAATGCTCTGACTTCCTGTTGGCAGCTGTTTTATTTTGTGTGAATCAACAAATGTTGAGGTAGCAGGTCCATCTTTGACAGCCCCTTTAGGCAAAATGCCAATCAAGGAAGAAGAAGCCTTATCTCATCTGCACTACTTAATCGCTCCTTCCTCCTCTGGTTCAACCAATGCCATGTTCCAGAAGACAGAGTCAAATACTCAGGTTTTACTGCTCATTCTCTGCGTTGTTTTATTGCCAGAGAGCCCATGCGAGAAGTCAGCAGGATAGAAGAGCCAGAATTCAAGGACTCTTCATCTCAACTAGGATGTGAATTTCAGCAGATAACCAACAGCGGTTGAAGGATGTGATTTAAAGCACAAGGATTTTCCCAATTCAAATATTTACGTCTCAATGATTATTTGAAGATGAAATAGGTGCAGTTATTTAAAAACGACAAAACTGGTTTGTCAAAAATTGACGAGAGCCTGAAATAATTTCTTGACCAACCCTGTCTGCTCAGTATCGTTTTTAAACATACTTCCATAACGAACAGATTTTATACTTGTAAAATGAACAGTGCCTATCTGTAAACCAGTTATCTCTTGAAGAATGGGTCAAATTTGGAGAGTTTAACTTTGATGTCAGCAAAAGCCTCGATTAAACCATTATCTAAAGAATACTTGCTTTCGATTCCATAAATAGGTCAGGCAAAATATGTCCCTGTTCTCTGAGCTAGCATTATATGTATTGAATCAGAAGTATTTCTAATTGATAGAAGTAATCAACAGGAGATGACTTGGTTCATAATTACCTTTCATTTCCTATGAACTATTTGATCATTCTGGGAATATGTGATGGAGCATCATTTGTTATGCATATTCTATTGCTGCTTTCTAAACAAAAAACTTGATTAATAGGCCCATTTCTGGGGATAAGTTCAATACAGATCAACCTATACCAATTCTTATCAAAACAAAATGATGTTCTTGAAAATGTTCTTAAACTGGGTCAATAAACCTATTATGATCTAAGCTGTAATATTTAGTGTTGGATCCATGCAATATAATTACGCTCTTTGAAAATCGATTGACCTTTTATATTAAACAAACCATTGTCTTTGTTCCACAAATTATTATTAACTCTATGGCTTAGTGCAATATGTGTACTCAACATTCTACTTCCAATTTAATAATACATATAATGTGGGAAATGGTTCTGACAACGGTAGATGCAGAAATGCTTTTAAAATAAATAAGTTATTTTGCAGAAATGTGTTCTTTCAGAGAGAAAACTGAGAATATTGAGTAGAATTATAATGACAATTATGAATATATTATTTTTGCAAAACCATATTTAGCTATTAGGATGTTATGATTACATTCCTGGGATTATATTGTGGTCTCAGAAACCCCAACCAAAGGGAAAAACCCAAGCAACTGTTTGACTTAATATGTGATTTATTTTCATCTTGATAACGTGTGCAAATACAGCCCGTTAAGACCAACCTTCCTACACCCATCCTTTATTATACCTTTCTCACATCACGTCACTCATGTATTACCTCTATATCTCTTCCTGCATTCTTTTTTATTTCCTTCCACGCAACTGATATTTTAGCCCGTTTGGTGTAAGTGGTTAAGGAGTCAGGCTTTACCTGGGAGACTGTGAGTTCTAGTCTCGCCTTAGGTAGAAAACCAGCTGGGTGACTTTAAGCCAGTGCTGCTCTTCCAGTCTTAGGAAGGAGGCCACGGCAAGCCACTTCTTAAAAGGTTTGAAGCCACAAAAACTGCAGGGACTAGTCCAGGCAATCCCCAGGAGTCAACGCAGACTTGAAGGCAATGAATGAATGAATTTTTGAAGACAAAACTTAAGTGTCATGAAAGCAAAACTTAATGCATCAATTCTTGAAAACAGAACTGAAATAAATCTGAAGAGAAAACTTAAATGTCTTGAAAGCAAAACTTAATGCATCAATTCTTGAAAATAGAATTTAAATAAATTCCTGAAGACAAAACTTAAATAAATGTCTTGAAAACAAAATTTAATACCCAAATTTTTGAAAGCGGAACTCAATAAAATTTCTGAAGACAAGACTTTAAATTTATTAATATAAATAGAGGGACGTTTCAAAATCCATATAGATTTTTTTTTTTTTTTTTTGGAAAATAAATAAATTTCTGAAGACAAATCTTAAAGGTCTTGAAAGCAAAAACTTCATACCCAAATTCCTGAAAACAGAATTTAAATAAATTTCTGAAGACAAAACTGAAATAAATGCCTCGAAAACAAACTTAAAATTCTCGAAAGCAAAACTTACAAGAAATAGTTTCTCGGGAAAAACAAAATTGAAAATTATTAGACGGGTCCTGAAGTGCCGAAGTTGATACCATGAGTTAGAAAATAAATTTCATTCCCTTTATAATCGGGATTATATGATGAATAATGGGATTATCCTTAAATCCTCCCAAACGGGGAGGCTGACCTGAACGGACCCTTCTCCTGCTTTCAAATCCCACCAGACAGCAAAGGATTACCCAGAGAAGCAGTAACGGGGACAGAGTTGGAAGGGACCTTGGAGGTCATCTAGTCCAACCCCCTGCTCAGGCAGGAGACCTGTATAGGGATTCGAACCGCCGAACTGCCGACCCTTTCTGACCCACAGCTGTCTTAGCCACTTTGAGCCCCCTTAGCAACCTCTCTTTGGACCCCCCCCCACGGAAAACCGCATTCGGGAATCAAGTCACGCCGGGGGTCTTCTTCACATCCTCCACAGGCAACAGAAAGGCCTTCGGGGTTGTCACGCTTACTGCGAATGAAGAAGCCCACCCCCCTGCCCACCACAGGGCCTACCTACCTGAGAGCTGTGCAGAAGACCCCGACCCACCCGAACCTTCCTCCTCTTCCTCCTCCTCCTCCTCACCGCGGGCCTAGACGGTCCCCTCAAGCAGGCTCTCGGCGTTGCTAAGCAACGGCGAGGGGCGGGGGACCTCCCCCGTTATTAAAAACGAGCGATTTTCGCGCGGCGCGGCCCAGGCCGGCTTCCGTCCCAGATGATCCTGGCCCCGCCCCCTCCTCCTCCTCCTCCTCTCGCTTCGCTGCCGCTTGCCTCGCCTCCATCTCTTGCCGACGCCACTGGCGTAACCCGCTCGGGGAAGAGGGGAGCCGCGTCAGTCACCGCCGCCGCCGCCACCGCCGCGCTGGGTGGGAGCGGAAGCCTGTCTGTGAGGGGGAAAGGAGCCATGGGGGACGCGGCCTGCCGTTCCGCCGCCGGCGCTTGTTAAAAAAAGAGGAGCGCCCTTCGCCTTCGCCGCCTCAGAAGAAGAAGAAGACGCCTCAGAAGCCGACTTCTTTCTCTCCTTCCTCGCTTGCTGGAGCCATGGACAAAGCCGTCGGCGGCCAGGTAGGAAGGGCGGCTGAGGAGAGCCCTCAGAGAAGGGGGGGGGAGAAGGGGGTTTGAGGAGTTGCTAGGCAACCGCGGAGGGGGGGGGAGAAAGGAGGTCTCCGGGCAAAGAGGGAGGGGGGTGGGTGGGCTCCATTTGGAGGACCGTTGGGGAGTGTGGGGAGGGGGGGTCAGCTGGAGCGACCGACTCCCCCCTCCCTCCGTTATCGGGAGGAAGGAAGGAAGGCGCGGCCCCGGGCGTAAGTCGAGGCGGCAAACGGGCGGGCAGGCGGGGGGGGGTTTACTACTCTCTCTTTGCGGGGGGGGAAGGAAGGCAGGGTGGGGGGAGAGAGGAAGGTGGGGGAGAAAGACAGGGGGAGGGGGGGAGGAAGGCAGGGTGGGGGGGGAGAAGAAGGGGGGGGAGAAGGCAGGGTGGGGGGGGAGAAGAAGGTGGGGGGAGGAAGGCGGGTGGGGGGAGAGAGGTGGGGGAGAAAGAGTGGGGGGAGGAGAAAGACGGGTGGGGGAGAGGAGGTGGGGGGAGAGGGGGTGGGGAGAAAGACAGGGGGGGGGGGGGGAGAAGGAGGGTGGGGGGAGAGAAGAAGGTGGGGGGGAGAGAGAAGAGGGTGGGGGGAGAGAAGGCAGGGTGGGGGGAGGAAGAGGGAGGAAGAGGGTGGGGGGAGGAAAGTGGGGGGGAGAAAGACAGGGGTGGGGGGTGGAAGGCAGAGGTGGGGGAAGAAAGTGGGGGGGAAGACAGGGGTGGGGGGGGAGGGGGGGGGGAAGGCAAGGGGTTTGTGTGAGAGTGGATTTGGGTCAGGGGTCCTCCTTGCCCGAGGAAGCCTGAGGAAGGGAGGGGAAGCCGAGCACAGGGGCAGAAGGGCCGGAGGGGGAGGTTCCTCAGCGCTACTAACAACAAGACGGAAAGAGAGAGAGTTTTGGTTTATTTTTAATTTTTAAGTCAAACAAACATTTAGTATAGTCTTCATTTCTACCTTCCATGTGACATTTCGGTGTTCTCTTCAAAAGTTTCTTCTCTTCTCTACCTCTCTCTTCTGTCTTCAATCTCACCAAATCCATTACAAAGAGTTTTCCACGAATATATTATTCTAATTACAACCAATTTCCCCCCCAATCTCTTTTAAAAACTTTTATTTGTATCTCTTTTCTAACCAATAGTAAAGTTTATTCCATATCTTAAAAATATTCTGTGTCTTCTCTTTCCTTTATCATCATAGTTAATCTATTCATTTCTGCACAATCTTAAGATTTTTTAAAATTACTTCTCCCATGGAGAGAAGAGTGTTAAACCGCCCGGCAGAGTGAGTAGTGTTGGAGGAATTAACGGGGACGTAATGCAAGGGAGGGGGGGATTTAGTCCGAGGAAGGGGTGGTGGTGGTGGAAAGATTTTTAGGCCGGAGTGGAGGAAGAGGAAGAGGAGAGGCTGCTGCTGTTGCTGCTATTGAAGCCTTCCTGGAAATGCTTAGGCTGCTCCCGGGTGAGTTTCCTAGGCTGCTCTAGGGCTTTCTTTTTTTTGTGAGAGGTTGCTTGAAAGCTTTGAAATGAACGTATTTCTTCCCAACTTTCTGGCCCGGGCCTTGGAATGAATTACAGGTCGTTCTCGACTTACGGCCGCCCTGGAGCGCCCCCCCCCCGATGTTTCTGTTGGTTTAAGCGGAGACAGTTCAGCGGTGGGTTTGGCCCCATTTTTACCACCTTTCTGGCCACGGTTGTTTAAGGAAATTGCTGCAGTAAGAAACAGTTGACTCACATGACTGCAATTGAGCCCAACAATTTCTGAGACTAAACAAGAGAGCGGTTAAATCAGTTTTGCCCACGTTTTTTACAACCTTTATTGCCATAGGGTGTTGTGGACGGCTGCAATTCTTAAGTAACACGATTGCCCCAAAGGGTCCTTTTTTTCAAAAGGCAACTGGACTTTCTTTGTCCTTGAAGACGTTTCACTTCTCTTGAAGATGTTTCGCTTCTCGTCCAAGAAGCTGCTTCAGTGGGGACAACCTGACCTGGATGACTGAGAATCTCCATAGACATTTAGTAAGCCGGTTGTTAAGGGAGCCTGGCTTCCCCCCATTGACTTTTGCTTGCCAAAAGGTGGCAAAAAGGGGATTCCCGTGACCTCAGTACACAGCAGTGGTCGTAAGTATGAACCGGTCAATAAGCATGAACCGGTTGCCGAGCATCTGAATTTTGATCACGCGATTGTGAGGATGTTACAAAGGTGATAACTCTGAAAAATAGTCCTGAGTCTTTTTTTTTTTCAGGGATGTAACTTTGGATGATCACTGAATGAACTGTTGTAAAGTCAAGGGCTACCTATAGTTGTGTGAACAGGCAGAAGAAGAGCTGGGTTCTGGGTTTCCGGGGTTGGGGTGAGAAGAACTGCAACAGAGTTGGAAGAGGAGCCTTGGACATCTTCTAGTCCAACTCCCTGTTCAAGGATATTCATATAATTGAGTATTGGGAGTTGGACAATGGGAGTTGGACACACCATTTGAGACAGTGATTACTATTTCAGACAAATGGAGTTAAATGTATGGACGCAGGAAGTAGAGCGGGGAAAAAACAAGTTCCCTGGGACTGAACTTCTGGGCTAGTGACTTGTTGCAAAGGGATACAAATGCTACCAGACTTAGTTTTCCTAAAAAGCTGGGTTGCTCACCATTTCTATCGCTCTAGGAATTGAGCCTTCCTCACCTCTTCTGAGTGAGAAGTTTGAGGGTGGGTAGAGAAGCCCAGGGGTGGATTTTGGTCCTGGAATTTCAATTATCACTTTCTTACATGACAAATTGTTTGTTGGATTAGCATATGCAGAAGCATAAATGTGTGTATTTAAAAAAAAAAGATTAGCCTTGTGGAATGGTTTTCGATGTAGGTATGATTTTCAGGAACATTGGAGAATGTCTTCCTCCAAAATGGTTAATTTCTACAGGTTTTTTTTTTAAAGATATGATTCTGATTCTAGGGACTGTGTATAATTATATGAGTATCCTTTAATAGCACTTAGAATTAGTAAAACATATCAAAACAATTGTGTGATTTACTAAACTAGGAAATTAACCTTTGCCTGAATGTTAAATATTTTGCCTCTTGCAGTAACTAAATTTGTTCCTTACTTTCAGCCTTCCTTCAATTGTAAAATATCCCTGCCTTATGCTATTTTCTCATTTTAAATTGAAGCCAATATTTGAAGTTTTTGTGCATTATAACATAGATCTGCACTTTGGAAATGTTAGTAGGCAGTTCGGAAAAACAGTTAATGGGAAAATGCAGGATTCTGGGACTGAATCCCTAAGGTCTTTAATGAAATGGTTATTGGGCAGATGGTATGTACAAGCATCTCTACAGGCCCACAGGACATCAACTGGAGTCTGAATCCAAATTCAAAGATGGGACATTAGAGAGGCTGTTACACTGAGTAGTTAACACTGGGCTAAATGAACTTTCATAGGCTTGATGTAAGGCAATTCTTTTACAATGGTCTCATACATTGTTTATTGTAGTTAACCTTGGTTTAATTAACCCAGCTGGGTTTGCACAATCCTCTGGACCATCAACAAAGCACATAGGCTGTGCTCACATGCTAGGATAAAAGGTGGTTGCCTGGTAAATGACTGAGGTCATCCAAGATATCCATATACATGTAAAGCTTCCTGGTTAATGACTGGAGATAATTTTTATAATTGCAGTTGCTTGTAAATAACACACATTCAGATCACAAGAGTAAAGTCAAGTTGTGCTTGTGCCTTTTCTGTTGTTGACCTTGTTCTGTAGAACACCCCTGCCTCATTCCAGATACACCACAGGCCCCAGCTCTGTTCACTTAGTCCCCTTTTGTTGGTGGTTAATAGTCTAATAGTTAATAGTTTGGTCTTCTCCATTCTGTATAGCTTTAATGTTAAATAGTTTGAGAGGGGTAGTTTGGTTTATTGTTTGCTGTTGTAAGCTGCCCAGAGTCACATTGTTTGACTTAGGAAGATTTACAAATTAGTTAACACACTTCTGGTGATTTAATGGGTTTCACTGGCAGTAATACAGGACTGGATTCCTATCTTCATTTTTTCTTTTGATTTCTCAGTTTAGCCTACAGCCTTGGGACTTAAAATTAGCCTTCAACACAAGGGCTAATCAGAACTATCCCTATTTAGTTTCCAAGCTGATCACCTGCTAAGATTGCTTTGTTTAATGTTTTGAAGGAGGTATATTCTTTTATTCTTTGTTAACAAGGTGTTCTTTTTGTATTCTATAATGCTTAGGAAATAGTTTACTAGTTCTAATTAAAAGCAGTGTGTGTGCTGACTCTGGGCAAGCTTGTGAATTAAGAATTTAAAACCCTATAATGACATTGAAAGGCTAATTTCCTCAATTGCTTGGAGTGCTGCATTTATTCATGTCTTTTTTTCAGGGTTCCCATGTCTGACTGGCAATAGCAGAGTTTGGATAGTGATAGAAGTAGAAAGATGTGGGGGCAAGTTTTTATTTGATTAAATGGTGAAAGCCAAGTTGGGGGGAGGAATGCTCTGAAATGCATAGTGTGCTACCCTGTTTCCCCGAAAATAAGACATTTCCTGATAATAAGTCCAATCAGGCTTTTGAGCGCATGCGCTAAAATAAGCCTCTCCCCGAAAATATTTAAACGCAGAGCTGGAAAGCAGGTAAGATGGGAAGAGGAGCCCCATCTTGCTCCACGTGCCCCAAAATAATAAGACCTCCCCAAAAATAAGGCCAAGTGCTTATTTTGGGGTTCAATAAAATATAAAACAGGGTCTTATTTTCAGAGAAACACGGTATTACTGGTCAGTGCAAATCATATTCTTTATTCTTGTGCTGCCTGTGATTACAGGAGTCTCATCCCCAGATAGCAGAGCCCAACCCTCTGAAGCATATTTCTAAGTTAGAGATAGGGAAGAGGAATTGTTCCACTACTATTCAGCTGAGAGAATTTGTCTGATTAATAGGGCAAACTAATTGATTTAGTTTACTCAGCATGTTGGTTTGTGTAGTAGTT